CTGCAACAGTACAAATTACAGTATGTGAAAAAGCAGTCTGACTAAAAATTATAGTTTTTCAAAACAATATCAAGAGTACATTTTTCTTTTAAATGCGTTTCCGAGTTCTTGTTATAACTTAACCGTAAACGAGTGATGTGGGAAAAATTTGGGAAAATGTTTGCCATCGTTGTCAGGATTGCTTTATGTAAAGTTTGAAACCATTATTACATGTGGAGCTTATGTTAAATCGAACTTGCATAATAACGTTGATGAAACCAATCCGTGTACAAGGGAAAGATAACTGGGGGAGGGGGGTGCCACAGTTTAACAGGAACTTGGCCTTTGTCTTTGGAACAGAAAGCTGTGGCCATTTTTTCTATAGTTAGAGAATAAATATGTTGTTTCTTCTCGTTTCGCAAGCAAACAACAAGATACTTAAATGTACTTATTGCATCCATTTAGGGGTATTTAAACTAAGCTCTGGGCATCAGATTTTTTCTGACCATTCTGAACCATTTTATAGATTAAATATTTTCACAACACTTCGTGCTCTGGTGAGCTTTTTTTATATAAAGAACAACAAACACAAACTATAGAGAATCACAAGTATTTTTTACTGCTAGGTGATGATTTGTCTATATGTGTCTAACAGTGAAATGATTCCACATCTCAACATCATGAAACTATTATAATAGTAGGGAAATAAAACATTTTCATAGCTTCATTTTAAGACTACCACAAATATATAAATGATACACTGTTTATATGAAATACTCGGACACTAATATACAGCACCATTTACATAGTATAAAGTGTAAGCAGTCAGTTTCAAAGATATCAACAGTAATTCAATATTCTTACAAGCTTAACAATATTTCCTATATCAACAAAAGAAAATGCGTATCATCTCATTCATACAATACTGCTGTTATATTTAACCCCCTAGTACTAATATTATACAGCTACTAGTATTACAATTTATCCCCTTGGTGTACTGTGTTGGTTTAAATCATGAATACAGGTCTAGAAATAACATTCAGATCTGCCAATACAGACTCTATCCCTAAATTGCTGATTTCTTACTTAACATTTTTATTCACAAATTAATATATACACTTTAGAGAATATCAAACTTTTAAATAAATACAACAGTTTTATGCATATGGCCTTTGAATCATAAAGGTTATGATAATTATTGTATTGAAGACATATCTGACTCTCTAATAGATAAAGTTATGATGTGCAGTCTTCAGGAACAAAAATTTCTCAAATATTATAACAACTAAGAGAATTGATTTATTAAAAACATGGTGAACACAATAGTTTGTTTAAAATTGTAAACTTGTGACCAAAACGTAAACTTGTGACCAAAACTTGCAATGAAATACCAATGTAATGATTTTTGTGTACAGTTATGTAGCAGTCAATTTGTAAACCAAACCCTTCCCCACCTCCTGTAATAACTTCTGTATCATCTAACTCCTGGTCAGACTAGCATGAATGTGGTGATAAAATCTCCCATTTAATGCCCCCACCCCCACACAGCAAATTTTCAATATCCTCCACTATCCTGGTAAAACAAACACAGGGACAAGTGAAAACTGAATCTAAAAGTTATAAATATTTAAGATCTTAAATAAGAATTACCCTTGGATTCATCATAACTGAGCCAAAAGAATATTACAATGAGTAAGAAAACGATGCTTCTGACTAAGTTAACTCAAATTCAAGATGATTTACCAAGCAACCTAATGAATGATGAAGGGCTGAAAACACTAATAAACTGATAAAAAAATAAACAATACTGTGAAATTTGTCAATAACTATCCCTTTTATGACTACTGAACGTAAGTAATTTACCCAAACAAATAATACCTGTATGCTAAAGCTTTTAAGTTTCACATTTTACAAAAATGACAGCTAATGATTTAAATAATACATTGTAATAGCTAAAAATAACTAATTTATAAATACTAAAATGAATAATCACCCATCAAACACAAATTATATACATGTGCAAACTTATTTCAAAATCACCTTGTGTGCAAAAATAAATTAACTTTCCTACAATATTATTCTCTTTTTAAAAAATACAATGGTATGTACTTGTATATGATTTCATGAAAGCTGAATGCTTACTATTTATTTCTCATTTCTTTGGTTAAAAAGCCTTTTTCTAGAATATAGTAAAGAGATCAATGGATAATAATAAACCTTAACAAGAGCTGTCAGTAGGACAGCACGCTCGACTATTCTAAGTGCTTGATAGTAAAAGAGCCTTGATGTTAAATTTTCTAAGTTCACAAAAGGGCTAATTTTTTTTTATAAATTCATGTTATAGGCTTTAGAGAGAGTCTAATTATACAGTATTGGCTTGACTATTCGGAAGGTTGTCACAAGGGTGTTTTATTGAGTATAATAATACTAAATACCTATGAATACATAAAATTGACAGAAAAGGTACAAAGGCTTGTTATTAAGATGTTTTATCAAGTAAATCACTGCTTTGTTATTATGAATGCATAAAATTGTCCCAAAAAAGGCACAAACCCTTCAGTAGTTATGGAGATAACAGCTTACAAGCAAAACTTTACCATGAATTTCTAAGTTGAAAAAGGGGAGAAAAATCAGCCTAAATGCAAGATAGAATTATGGATCTTGGTCAGTGACCTACAATTATGACCCTAAATGCATATGTGAAGTTTTAAATAAATATCTTTAATAGTTATTGAGATATGTAAAACTTGCATGTAAACATTAACCAAGAGACTTAAAGTAGAAAAGGGGAGATGAATCAGCCTAAATGCAAGTAGAGTTATGGAACTTGGTCAGTGACATACAATTATGACCCTCCAATTATGACCCTACAATTATGACCCTAAGTGCATGTGTAAAGTTTCAAGTAAATAATGATCTTTGAAGACCTTTAACCAAAATTTCTAAGTTTCAAAGGGGCAAATAATTCTGCAAATATTGCAGGCAGAGTTATGCAGTTTTGCAAACTGATGTACATTGTTACTATAAAAAAAGTACTGTAAATTTCAATTGAATATCTCACGCAATAATTGAGATATTTGACTTTACAAAAAAACTTAAACCAAAATTTCTAAGTTAAAAAGGGGCATAATTCTGTCAATATTGTAGGCAGAGTTATCCAACTTGTCAGTCTGATGTACCTTGTTACTATAAATAAGTATTGTAAGTTTAAATTGAATATCTCAAGCAATAATTGAGATATTTGACTTTACAAAAAACTTTAACCAAAATTTCTAAGTTAAAAAGGGGCATAATTCTGTCAATATTGTAGGCAGAGTTATCCAACTTGTCAATCTGATGTATCTTGTTACTATAAATAAGTATTGTAAGTTTCAATTAAATATCTCAAGCAATAATTGAGATATTTGACTTTACAAAAAACTTTAACCAAAATTTCTAAGTTAAAAAGGGGCATAATTCTGTCAAAATTGTAGGCAGAGTTATCCAACTTGTCAATCTGATGTTCCTTGTTACTATAAATAAGTATTGTAAGTTTCAATTGAATATCTCAAGCAATAATTGAGATATTTGATTTTACAAAAAACTTTAACCAACGCAGACGCCGACGCGGACGCTGGGGCGACTACAATAGCTCTCATATTCTTCGAATAGTCGAGCTAAAAATACGACTAGACCACAAGAAATTTCTCCCCAACCACATCTTTAGGTAAGGAGTCGAGATCCCCTGGGATATTTGGAGAAAATAAAGAGTGATAATGAATACCAAATTAAAAACATTTAAAGGGGAAAATTACCAAATTAAAAACATTTTAAGGGGAAAATTATTAACTTCTGACAATGGATTTGTCTGAAGAAGGGGGAAAAACATAGCGCTATTCTTAAATGATCTTTTAGAGACTATACAGCTTCTTCATTCATCATTAATGTATAATGAGTATTGTCATTAATCTATATTTAAATTCAATATCTATAAAAACAAACTTTAAATTTGTTTGATGAAAACCATTGATTTTGTAGCCCAAAGTTCAATCTGAAATTGAAGGTGATCAGTTAGAAATAGATAAACATGGACCATAATTAAGCAGCCCTAAATAAACAAAGAAAGTTTTACTACAAGGAAGGTTAATCAATAAATGATACACAATCAATTATTTGTTGCATCACATATATAATATACAATGATATATATCAATCATGTAATAACCATAAGTTACAATAAACACAAGCTATGAGGCTTTCACTGTCTTATTATAAAATTATCTTTTTTTTTAAATTGAATGAAATTACAATTGTTGCATCAACTTTATTTAAATATTTTATCAAATTATTTAGATTTCTATCACAGATGCTGGTAAATGTCATCCTGGACATAAATATAAAACACATATGGGTAATTTCATTGACAATCTATTTAGAAATTTAATCAGTAACAACAATAAACAATGTGATAGTTAAAAAAACAACATAATTAATAAATAGAAAAAAAAAGGTTTAAAATAAAAGTGGGACCATGGTTTAACACCGGTTAATATAAATTTTCACTCCTTACATACCATAGATGCAGAATATTCAGAACCAGTTTAAACAAGAACCTTTAGGGGTGTTTATTCAAAACAGAAAGTATGATGTGTTAAGGACAATTTAAAAAAGAAAAAAAATGTTTTCCCCAACAGGTGTGACATTTAGTGAGTAATATAAAGTATATTTCATTGAAAGAATCTAATATTTTATGAATTACAAGAAAACAAAGACCATAAAAATATAATTTACACAAAATGGAGTGAATTTTATCATGTACACTAACTACACTATATTTAAATAAAATCATGCAAGCCATTTACCATCTCACATACAATTAAGTTTATTTTTTATATTGATACAATACAAACTTCAACAGCAACATTTTCCCTATGTACATACATACAGTTTATTATTAAACTGAACTTAAGCAATAAGCTGCATACCCTTGGTTGTACAATTACTTAATACCCTTAAACAATGTATAGTAAATACTGTAAAATAAAGTTGTTATAATAACAATTTCAGTAGAATTCACGATAAGATGATAAGAACCAGACGCATATGACTGTGGTTCTTGTTTAATTCCCTGAGCACAAACATATATTGCTTAATAAAAAATTAGAAACTTAAGCAAAACGTGGCCCATTCTATATAGCAATATTTCTGAAAGTTTAAACGTAAAATATGCGCTTATATCAAATTTGATTTATCTATACATGTATATATATGAATGATACATGATAAATATAACTTTAAAACATAAGACTTTTGTCAGTTTGCAATGAAGAATGTATAGAATTGCATATCAAAAACATCTTTTTATACACCAACTTTTAGCCTGGTAGCAGCAACTGATTCTACCCATGCAACTAGTGCAGACAAAGATTGTTTGTCTAATCAAGGTATGCATTGTTCACTATTCATTCAGTATACATATCTTGAAATTTTCCACTAAAAACAAACAAATGGTTTTGCCCAGATTAAAAGATAAACAAGTACTTTTTAGATAGTTGGCGTGGTATGGGTTAAGGCACAGTGGTCCCACACATCCATTAAGATTGTATGATCAGTTCACAGTGATATGAACAAAATACTCACAACACTTAAGACAAGTGTTTTTCATTCTTAACAAAAATGTGCACTATGACCTTTAATGTTTTGTGTAAAAGTGACAAACATTTTAAGAACTTATGTAATACTACTGAAAAGAGCAAGAACTACAATTCAAATAAAAATGATACAGACTAGCATAACTTCAGGTATTCAGGGCTACATTTACTAAACTCTTTAACATAATACATCTCTTGACTACTAAATATAAATAAAATCATCATAAAATCAATTGCTAAAAAACTGGTTGTCTAATAACAGAACAACAATTATATAAATTTAACTATAAGAAAGTGTGTGTTTCTGTTTGCTGTTTTTACATATGCTCTGGATGGTTCTTTAAACAGTTGATAAATTCCTCTACTGGCAAGTCACCCTTGCATATTTTATGAACGGCAGTAAACATTGGGAATCTGAAAAAAAAAGGGAGATAACTATGATCAAGTATGGGTGGTTATATCAAAATGTGAGTGATAAAACTGATAAAACCTGTTTTTTGCCGTAGTTAACTTTTCTACATAGATAAGACGGCTATCAAGTAGGTATTAGTATTTATATAGAAGTATTTGTTAACTAATTATCTTTTTAATGCATGCTTGGACATTTTATTTAAAATTACCTGATAAAAAATAAATTTAGTAAAGATATTTATCACATAGCCGTGCCACTTTTACTACTCCATAAAAATGGTATTGCATGGCCATGTATATATTTTGATGTGACATCATTTTAGTTATATTGAAACATAGCAATAAGACACACTTAATGTTAGCATTTAACTTTAGTGGTGTCAATGAAAAATGGTACTTTTTCATTTCAAACAGTCTTTATTTTCGGTATGTGATAAATAGAATATTATATTCGTGTAAGTTTAAAACTAAAATTTATTGAACTAGTTGATTAATATTATATTATGCTCGCCAGAGGCTCGCATAATATAATTGTATTCAACTCATTCAATAAATTCAGTATGGAACTTTACACTCATTCAACATCCTCTATATTTTGATAGAATTCTACAGCAGTAATATATTGATAGAATTCTACAGCAGTAAACAGTAAAATAACATAATAATGCCTTACTTATCTTCCATATTTTTGCTCTTTAACATAAAGTTAACCTCCTCTGCTGTAGGTGGACCTTGTAATTTCTGTCCATTGAGCATCTCTTGTTCTAACTGCTCGATTGTCTGGAGTATATAATGTGTCATATTGAAATATTATCCTACAAAATTTTTTTTTGTAATGAATTTTCCCAACTTTGAACTTGGAACATCTCATTTATAGTTTAAGGGATTCATAAGGGAAATGGGTATTGGCATATACATTTAGAGCTAATTTTTCCATGAAGTTAAGCAACTTAAAAGGCAAAGGGCATTTGAATCATTTGAAACCCTCAAATTTATATTATAATTTATATATACATATATTACCAAGATTGGCTAGTTGTACATAATCAAAATAAATTCTTGTACGATCTTGAGTTCATTTAATTTTATAGCTGCTTACAAATCTTTTTTTTATTTTGCAGACAGAAAATGTTCATTGTATATAAGCTGATATACGCAAGAAAACAACAAAGATTAACTGACAGCCAGTATATAACTAATAACTTGTAAACAATAATGAGCTACATATAAAACAAATAAGCTATCAAAACAAACAACATACCTTTCCTGCTTTAACAAAAGCAGCTGCTACTCTCCTATTTCTGCCTGCATAACAAGTAGTTACTAAATCAGCTACACCACAACTCTCTAAAAATGTACTCTGTGTGGATCCTAAAATAAAAACGTTAACAAAAATGAAATTTATAGTATTACAATTTATGTGAATCCTTTTCTTTTTGTTGGATTTTATGTCACACCATAAATGAATAGGTCATATGGTACCTTTCAAAGGGAAGACCTAAGGTGCCTTCCAAGTAGAACCACCAATGTTCTGTAAGCTAGCTGGATATCTTTCCAAAACCATGACGAGATTCAAACCCACAGTAGTGAGAGGCAAGTGGTTTGAAGTCTAAGACCTTTACCATTCTGTTGTACACATCCCTTTTTCAAAACTTGACAATGTTTACAAATCTAAATACTTTAAAATTGGAAACTTGGCAAGAAATGTGTAATCTTTTTTTTTTTTGTTGGATTTTATGTTGCACTAACTTAGCATAGGTCATATGGCAAATTTCAAGATTTACTGGTGGAGGATGACCTCAGGTGCTCTTCCGTGCATTATTTCAGGCACAAACAGGCACCAAAATTGAATCAAAGATGGTTGTAGCTAGCTGGATATCTTCCTTATATGAATCCAAATTCCTTATCAGGATTCAAACCCACTGCAGTGAGGGGCAAATGGTTTGATGTCAATGACCTTAACCAGTGTATTCTTATTACCTGGGAGTATTTTTACAATTCTTCTTACAACTAATATAATACCTCAGCAATATGACAGACAGAGTGATATATTTCACAACATATAAAAATCTACAAGACTGATGATAAGACAGGGATTTATTTCCTTGTTTTTTTTTCAGTAAGTTTTCTACTTGGAAATGTGCATAAAAAGAACTGCATAAAAAACCTTGGCAGTTTGTCAAGTTACATTGTTATGATGTAATGTTTATGTGTTATTCACATTTATGCAATTTAGATCATTTTTAGTATTAGTATGCTTATGTAACTTCTATCTTTAGATTTAGAACACCACAGTACAATTATCAAATATCTCTCAGCAAAGTCTCTTTAAGCACAATTTGAATATAAACGCTTAACTCTTAACCAAGCCTTTGCCACTGGTATGGAGCCAGGCCAGCCTGCATGTCCAAGCTCTAACCTGTTAATAGACTACCTTTAAATTCTTATCTTCATATCCCGAACATTAATATTGGACAGTTTCCAAAAGTGGCAGCTGGAAAAGTCTATTTTAGAAATTCAGCAAGTTCAGTTAAGGGTTTATCAAAATACAACTTACCATGCCAGAAAGCTTCACAGAATTTCACCATTTCCATAAGACCTAGACGAATCACAGCTGCCTTTGTGTTATCACCATACCCTAAACCGTCAGCAAAACCTGCTCCTGTTGCTACTATGTTCTGTCAACAATAAATTATTCAAAATCAAAATATATCATAATTGTTATTTTAATAACATTTTAATGAATAAATTTACAATCTTAAAGTTTTCAGGTTTTCACATATATCAACATAATTTAGAGCAACTAGCAATCTGTATTTTCAAATATACTTAAGGGGAAAAAGACACAAGGTTTGAGTTAAATATTTTATATGACACAAGGTTCAAATTAAATATTTTTTATATATATTAAACAAGATAGCATGACCCATGTTAAAGTAACATTAAATAACAGACCCAGTCAACTGTGACCCTGGCCTTAATTTTAAGAAAATAACAGGGATTCTGGATTCACAGACACATGGTACAATTATTGACATGCATGGACAGCGAGATGGTAAAAATTTGCACTACACATCCTGTGCTACAAGTTTGACATTGTCATATCCATCTGCTATAAAATTTACCAAAGCAGTGAACTTGCAGACTTTGCCCTTTCTCCACACCACCACCTGCCCTGCCCACCTCTGGGGACTGGGGAAGTAGGTGAGGGGGAGTAGATAACAGACAATTGCATTACCCGCTTTGATTTAATTTTTACTTTTTGGTTCAAATGAAAACAGTATGCATATAAACAGCATTTTTCAAATTTTAAGATGGTATCAAAATGACATTTTCATGATGACAGGTAAAACCACCTGATTTCCCTGTAGTATGTGAATATGTATTAGGCAAACCTATAATTACAGTTTGGTTAATGTATTTTCATCGTTAAGGAGTAATAAACGTACCTTTAATGCTCCACAAAGTTCTACAGTATCCTCATCTTCACAGACAACTATACGGAAATAATCTGCTTGAAACATTTTCTTCAATAATAATCCCTGAGACTTATCTTTAATACCTGTAACAAATAAAACCTAATTTTTAAGAAGTTCTTATATAAATATTTAAGTGAACTTGCTTACCTGGTTAATGATTCATGTCCTTAATTTTCTATCACGTGCTCGACTCACATTAACGCCCGGAATCTCTTTTTTTTTATTTTAAGGGATTTTCAACAGTCAAATGCTCAAATTAAGCAAACAAACAGCATAGTCCTTGATCAGATAACAGAGATCTGTTGTTTAGCCAAACTTAATAGTGCTATCATAAGCAAGTATTGCCAGTTACATTCCCTTCTAAAAACATTTCATCATAAAAAAAGAAAAAAATATTCTAAGGTAACAGACAAAACATTTGTCATCAGATGCCTGGTGATTTTTAATAGAAATCTCAAGTAAAAGCCCACATTTGGTACAGACAATGTATCTGACCTCCCTTATTTAGTTTACAAATTATGAATTCATATACATAGTCATATTTCAATATAATTGTAAATCACACAAATTTAAATAGACTTACCTATTGTGGCTTCACAATAATTTTCTGACGCAACTTCATTTGCAATATTGGCACCCATTAATACAGCACAGGGTATCTCTAATGTATTTACTACTTCTTCTGATATAAGAGCAATTCCACCACCTTCTTTCATTGAAAATCCCTTAAAATAAGAATATTCACACTATAATACAGGAAAACATTATTTCTTTAATTACTGATCAATTAACCATGAGACCACATTGCAGAAACCCTTCAGCAAGGACAAGGCCAGTCTGTGCTCAAAAATGATGTCATTTTTGAGCATTTTTAGAATGAAACTACATTCCTATGGCCTTCGGGTACCTGCCATATGCAGCAACTTGGCAAGCCTTATTATAGCCCAAAGGGCAAGTCTGAGGGACAGATATTCTGATCCGAACTGCAACATATGACATATATTAATAGTGTTCCACAAAATTATCATTTATCACTGCAAACAGCAGCAAACAAATTTATTTCAAATGTCCATCTTAATCAAAACTGATTGCATGTTTTGACATGATTATAATTTCAAGTGAAAATACTACTTACCTTAATTAATGAAACACCTAAGGCTGATTTTTTAATTGTTCCCTTTAGTTGTGAACAAACTCTTGGCAAGAACTGATGTGGTATCACAAATATGAAAATATCTGCATCTTTTGCTGACTCAACAAGATCTGGAACAGCTATCTAAAAGAGAATATAAATAACACATTTATTTTACATTGAATATATCATATATATATATATGACAATATCAGCCAAAACCAATATTTATGTATACATCAACTATCTGATTTGAATACAACAATCACTTATAGTCACTTTAGCATTTAATGACAGAACATTTCATCCCAGTGTCTCAATAATTTCTTTTATTGGCTGGTTTTTACGTCACACCAAAGCTGTAAAGGACTTTCCAAGATTGACGTGTAGAGGAAGACAATACATTCAGGCACCTAAGTAGAACCAGCGACGTTCTGTAAGCTTGCTTGACAGTTTCTTGACATGAAATAATCCAAGTCCCTTGTTCAGGACTCAATCTTATGATGGTGATGGGCTAGTGTTTTGAAGTCTATGTCCTTAACCATACTGTCGGGATGCCCGTTTCACAATAACTTTAAATGCAACATCACTTAAAGAGATACATTTGTTTTGCTTACAATAAATTCTTCTAACCTATAATACATATAACTTAAGGGCAGCATTACAAATGCATATGGATATCTAAAGTAGAAAGCAGTATCCATTAAAAGACAGCTTCCACTCATTGGTATAAATCTTATCTTGTTTTCCTTCCATTCATTTTCTACCAAATTTCATTATCTAAATAACTCACCACATTTGTTGGTATTTTATGTCCTGGCAGGTATTTAACATTTTCATGATCTGTGTTAATGATTTCTGTAAGTTTTCTACCATTAACATCCTCCTCAAACACCCACATCTTAATCTCTGTCTCAAAATCATCCAACTTTTGTACATTGTTTCCTACCACTTTAGCAATAGCTGACCCCCTGAAGAAAATAGAAAATGTATATTTATATTCTGATATTTACAACTCATAATATTGTTTAACATCAAATATATTTCACAATTAATGTTATGACAGACTTATTTTCTTAAGAAATATGTAAAGTAATGCAATAATTAAAGAAATTATGCAAAACACACCCAAAACCTTTCGATAACGGTTCTTTTTCAGTATGCATCATGCTTTTTTACGAAGTTTTATAGAATTGTATATATCTAAATATATAATTACATATATTTTTTTCAGGACTTATAATATAATCAACTATTAATTAGTCAATTCTTAATGAATTTACATTTCTTCAAAATTTGTCTGCCAAGGAAACGCTCTATTTTGTTTAAATTTTCCGAAATATTTACCATACAGTGCTGTAACTCAACTGTATGTATTAAATTTATGTTAAATGCGCCGATTTAATGGACTTGATTTAATGGACTCTGCCTATTTACACTGAATGGGCAGGGCTAACAGTTGTAAGTTGGTCATATACAGAGATTTAAGAAACAAATTTTCTTAAAACTCTGTATATACCCTAAAACCTATACTTAATGTGCCAGGACACTGGTATATTTGTGTATAGATGTAGCTGAACAATCAGGTTATTTGACTTTTATTCAGAATATTCATATCAACCTGTGCATTATAAATACAAGGGGTGTATTAGGGATTTTTTAATGGTTTATTTTGCAGCAAGAAATAGTTGTTTATAAATATGGATCACTACACTAAAACTGTACTTTGTCCATCATAAGCAAATTTTGTTTAACATTCAGAAATGGTTGTTATAATATTTTAAAAAACATCTATACTTATAACTTGACCTATAAACGTAAACATATCTTTTCTACCTGATTATATAATCTGTCCTCCTTTACCATAATTCAATGACAACACTAAAATCTTAATCTGTTTACCATTATATTTGAAATACAGATAAAAATGGCTAGACATGATTACACACTGCCTCAGTTTTATCATGACACTCTATATATATAATCAGTACAATATGAAATTGATAGTAATCCATTCTATTTTTGAAATTATTCTGTTCAAGTTCTGACACATTCAAAGCAAAGGTATTATCATATTTCCTGTACTTATTTATATAAGTATTATATAACCAAAGATATTTAAACAAATAACCGACCAATGTTGGTATATATCGCTGTGCTGAATAAATGAAAAAGATTTCAACAGTGTTGGATCACTTGTATATAACCTCAGGGCCCTGCTAGCCTAATAAGACCATTTTTGCAATGCAACAGTATACAAAATATCTAGATATGCTTTCATATAATGCTCATCCCTGGCTTCTACAGTACAAAGTCAGACGTAAAAAGTTTATAACTAAATAAAGAACCTATATGAACAGTAACCAACAAATAGAACTATATTTGAACCGAGGGGAATATTGTAATCAATTTTGTTGTGGACAAAAAGCAATATCAAATACATGAAGTCAGGGCCTTGTCAGTTCAAACAAGAAGTCTAAAATTTTACATACAAGCCAATGCTATATAGGTGTCAAATAAAAGTATTATAATATAACTTTTGTACTGACATCATGCCATCTCAAAAGCTATTTAAACAGTCTAAATGTTTCAAGCACAGATTTATATAAATTAAAGATGAAAATCTGCAAATCTCAAAGCAGCAAAAGAAAAAACCCTAGCTTTAATTAGTAGCTTATATCCCGTTGTTTCAGAAGAATTTGTAAATGTTGTTTACATCTCTCTTGAAGACATGATTGTCTAATTTCACTGACATTGAAGTAATTATGTTAAGAGGACTGAAGACAATGTAAAGGGCAAATCAATCTCTAGACTACACTAAATCAATAAGAAGATATTTTGGACAGTCTATCTGAGTGTTTACAGGCTAAAACAAAACCAAATCAGTACATATACTTAATTATGTACATTCTGATATGTACAGGCTTATAGGGAAGACTGGGCTAGCTTTTTGTGCTGCCTCTTGAAACAAGCAATTATCATAGTATTGCAAGCAATCCATAAGTCCCCTACCGGTAAGAGCCCAAGCAACATTCTGAAGGGCCATTCACTTAGGTTCCTATTTTAAGTAAATTTGTTGAAAAAGTTCTTTAAAAGTGATCACAGGAAACAGTTTTTATGTACAGACAGACGGACTGAAGGACACTCTAAAGTTATTTTTTAAACATGCCTGTTATCAAAATATAACATTTTTAAAATCCTATCATGATTGAAGAAGTTGGAGTAAAAATTACCAATTTCTCAAAAAAAGTCTAACTTCAAAAGGGGCATAATTCTGGAAATAGTCTTGCTAGAGTATTGAAACACTCACAAATGTTGAGTGACAATAAGAAACATTTTATATGAAGTTTGAAGTAGATACATTCAGAAAAAGAAGTTATTAAAAAAAAACAATGTTTTTTTTTCATGAAAATTTTAAGTTCAAGGAGGTAAATTCTGATAAATTTTGTACTAGAGTTGTAAACCTTGCCACATATGATATGGTTGATGACAAGCAACTTATATTTAAAGTTTGAAGAAAATACCTTAAGAAATAAAGAACTTATAGTGAAAAAACTTAAAAACTAAATAAGAAATCTTGAAAATTCAGTCTATTTGTTGCCATAGCAACCAGAATTTTCACAATAGGAAGATAAGAAAAAGGATGTGCATAATTTCCATACTTTGCCATCTACCCATATGTCAAGTTTCATAAACATATTTTCAGTACTTTTTGTGTTATCACTGGATCCAGGTTATGTGTAAAATTTTTGCCATATTTTCAGTCTATTTGTTGCCATAGCAACCAGAAATTTTCAACATAGGAAGAAAAGAAAAAAGACGTGCATAATCTCCATACTGCCATCTATCCATATATCAAGTTTCATAAAAATATATTTTCAGTACTTTTTTCGTTATCGCGGGATCCAGTTTATGTGTAAAATTTGTCATATTTTCAGTCTATTTGTTGCCATAGCAACCAGAATTTTCAACATAGGAAGAAAAAAAAAAGACGTGCATAATCTCCATACTGCCATCTATCCATATATCAAGTTTCATTAAAATATTTTCAGTACTTTTTGCGTTATCGCGGGATCCAGTTTTGTGGACGGACGGACTGACGGACGGACAGACGTACTGACAGAATGACAGACAGACGGACAGACGGACGGAGGGTAAACCTAAAGTCCCCTCCGGTAAACCGGTAGGGGACTAATAAAGTCATCTTTATTATTATTAATATTATTATCCGTGACTTGCCATAATAACATTCTATGAGCAAGTTGCTCCAAAACAAAATCATGAACGTCCTTTTCTTTTTCTGATTCAAAATCTGCTAACAAATCTGCTACATAATATATTGAACTTTCAGCAGCTAAAAAAAAATGTATGCATAATGCCTGATTTTTTGTTTACTCATTTATAATGTTATAATGTATGTACATGTATTACACTAAACAATATTGTATGATCACTTTTAAAGGCATTTTTGGTGCATATAGTCAGTTAAATAAAGATACTGATACCAATATATCAAGTTACTCAAAATGTTGTAACATTTTTAATTGTCCCATTCTTTCTGCTTCATACAAATTTTGAAGTTTTAAAAATAAAATATACTGTCCATATCTATCCAACCTTAGAGGTTTTTATTTCAGTGTTTTTTTTATCGGAGATAAAAACATAATATATGACTATATGTATACAATCTTTGAGAAACATAAATCAAATCATCACCTCTAGTTTATCTATATATAAAAAGACAGCTCCAGTCCTTTATCAATGACAATTTCTAGTGTCACAATGCCCTTCAATATCAAGACATTTACATAAAAAATATCACATATTTGTTATGATAAGGCGTTTCCAATCAAGATTGGATAAATGTTAAAAATGGCCATTGATTAGCATTCCTACGAATAATAGAGACAGATAGGTGTTGAAAATTTATCTAAATATCAAAGCATTCATTGTCAACATGCATTGTTATAAATACTATGTAATCCAGAGCACCAATTTTCCAAATGAGTTTGAATAAAAAAAATTAAGATTTAACGACTCAAATTCTCGTTCATTATATAAAGTTTCAGTAAATGAAAACAATACAAATTTTGTTTAAAAGTTTTATCAACTAAAATAATATTGTAAACCAGCCATTAATGAAACACTATTAAGCAAAGTATTGGTATGTGGAGTTGTGACCGAAAAAAACAGTATCAATGTATTGTTTAATTTTTTGTCTATCGTTCAATGAAAAAGATTTGAAAGTATCGATAATTTTGATTAATAAATAAAATATCTAGGTGCCTGGTAGATAGAAGATATGTCTTAAGCTATGCTGTTGTTTGTTCTTAATGAATTTAAATCATAATGTAAATTCATATATTTCATAATTTAGTGATGAAAAAAAAAATGGTCAGAAAAATCATGCTAAGGTTATAGGCATCATAATTTTATACACAGAACATGATTGTATCATACTGAAATAATGAAAACAAGTACATGTGCAATGTATGAAAATGAAGTATGAATAAATAATTCCCAACATTCATGTACATGTATCAGTGTATTGTTGATATATGTCATCTGATACCAATATATCATAGACATGCATGGGAAGAAAATCAATGATAGTTCTATTAGTATCATGTTAATTCAAACTTCTCATTTTGCATATCATTAAATATTTATAAACAGCAAGACAAATAATTATTCTTGTATTTCCATTTATTAAAATGAATATAATTATGACATTACTTTTATAAATCATCAGGAGCATTCAATGTATTTTGCCTTTTATTTCTATAAAATGTTTTCAGTGTTTATATGATAAATTTTAAACTCATTTAAATTTAAATGAACTTGGAGACTATTTCATGTCAAATTTTCATGCACAGTTTAAGGCAAGAGAATATTTTGGTTGGATGAACCATTAACCTTTCAAAAACCTTTGATTACATTTATTCACACCATTTAGAGGTGTAACGATTCA